GTGTAGATATATATATATATATATATATATATATATATATATATATATAATATATATATATATATATATATATATATATATACATACATACATATATCTCATGACTAGAAACACCATTTGAGATTTTTTTTCAATTATTCCTAACTCTACGCATTTTGTGCATAGTCAGTCGATGCCTAAACTGGGTTGCTGTCACTGTTATAATTTTTGCTGCAGACGTAGCACATGCACCCAATTCTGTCTATACAGATATACATGTTCAGTATACATAAACAATAATTCCTATGTAATAATAAGTCAGCAATAATTTTACCACTGTCTGGCAATATCTTTTCATGTCTCACTGAAAATTCTAATTTCCACCAACCTCGATCGTTTAATGAGGCACGTTGAGCCGGTGGCTGTTATAATAATAGCGATGAGCAAAGCATAGCTTTGCCGTCAGAGGGCGCTCTTAAAAATACGAACCCGCCTACAACATGGCGTTTATATGTTGCAATCGATATAGTGGCTACTGTATAGTAGGCTAAAAATAATCACGATTAACTGTAAAAATGGGGCTCCTTCGCTTCGCCATACCGATGAGAAGATCGCTGTTATTGTTTGAGCTTTAGAAAAATCAAAGCTTGCTATTTTCTTTTCGATATTAGTCGGGCAATTTTACACGTTTCATACATTGTAGCGACACAATCACTATCGGGAATCCTTTGGCTGAAGTCGTTCATTTTTTTTGTTGTGTTTTCTTTTGTTTTTTTTTTTTTTTTGTTAATACGCGCGTTCTTTTACAGCCAATATCCAGCCAATGGTCTATTTAAGTGAGATTCATTTTATCGAGGTGCACTGTCATTTAGCATAGAAAACAATTATAAGGGCACACCCTTGGGCTTTACTAATACGGTTGCAACGGAGCATCTCCGAGAAGAGTTCGTTTTATCTAAAAGGTTCAACACGTTGCGGAAAGTGTGTTTTATCTCGTTATATTATGATTGGGTAGTTGATACAATATCATGGGGTATAATCTAATGTAGAGTTATTTTCAGAATCGACGATTGTTTAGTATTAATGTTGTGACTATCTGTATGTATAGGGCTCTCATTTTCTTTTAACATACTTTTTACCATTAACAAACAAACAAACAAACAAACAAACAGTACATTTCAAAGTACAGTTTTTTGTCCAAGGCCAATCAAAGGCTTGATTGACGAATCGCTCGCTGATATCTAATAAGTTATTAGCATCTATAAAGTCTATATCTATATGATCACCTATATGGATATTAATCCAGATCAAGATCTATTAGTATGGCTCTGACAGCAAATTATAGTCTGCTCCTCAGAATGAATTTGCCGCTCTTCAAGAGTGACATCAGATGGGAACGCACGGAAATAGAAAACGTTGGCGATATCTTTCATGTGGTACTTATAAGTTAGTTATGCTTGAATGAGTACATTAATGTGGGGAAAGTTTTCTCATAATTAATAATTTAATAAATAGAATCTCTTTCTCTGTTCTGAAATGGCGGCTAAGGAAGAAAAGGCGGCGTAAGGTGAGGAGATAGATTAGTTGTTCGTTAAGGTTTGTTAGGAGCTGTCTTTCTCCTTCGTAACTTACTACGAAAGTTGTTCATTACTACTGTTTTTAGTTGACTTGTCGTATTTTCACCCCGCGCGTGCGCTGTTTTGTTGGCCTCCTTGACCTGTGCTTCGCTCCTGGTTTCTTTCTTCGCTTAGCCTTTTTCGTTAGGCCTTTTCTCTCTCGCCCTCTCTGTCTTTTTCTTTCTCTCTGTTTTCGCCTATCGTCATTTACATCAAAATAGGAAAACCAGCTAAATAGTTAATCATTATTAGTACTACTATTTGTATTATTATTAACAACAACTAATGACGTATTTGGTGGTGCTTCTGAGGCGGGCATTCGGTGAAGGGCGCGCCGTAATTTGACCGGACCAAGTTAGCGAGACGCTCGAACAGCTCAGCATCGAAGGATCCACCTTGCCAGTCGCAGTGAAGGGGGTTACCTGTAATCGATCGAAAAAGCAGCAAAACAAACTTTCGTTAGGATCGGCTTCTACGAGTCTCTCGTCGGGGCGCGAATATAGCGTATACGTTACGAACGCGCCCTGTTTTACCTGTTCATCAAAATTAACATTCGAATAACAATACGATTCATTCGTCGTTGTACGACACCGCGCAACGACGGGAATTACTAGGTACTAAAGTTCGATACTATTATCGCAACGGACAACGACAGCAAGTTGGTCCGAAAACAGGACCAAAAAAAATCACACGGCCGCACCGCGCCTAATTCGATCAGAGCTATATTGGAACGATAAACCTACCTGCTTTTAGAATAGCTCGCGTGTTTAATATAAACATGGTTCGACGTAATGCATCAAAGTCAACAACCTGCCAGTTCTTTCTCCTGTGACTTACCAGTCAGTGCCCATTAGAACTACTATGTACTAACGCAGAAAATTAATGAACGATGGCGCAGGTCAACTTTTTATCGACTGTAATTAAAATATATACTTTATATACATGAATGTTCCGATGAAGATGGCTAGGGCAATAACTAAGTTCATGAGTTTACGTTGGTAGTTATACTGATTTGTGCACCAATCCGTATTTCAGGAATTTTACAGCTGATGGACCGACTTCAAGTCTGAGTGTAGATATTATTCCTAGATAATTAACATGTAGACCTAAGATTTCAATGGAAAATTATACACGTAATATATGAAATACAGACGACAAACATTTGAGAGAAACAATAACATTTTTTGGTAATAAATACCAAGAATAGTCTGTAATTATTATGTAAATTGGGTGCTTCGCAGTTCCAAGCATTCGTACAACGAAAATGTGCCGAGAAAGAGAGAGAGAAATAGAAAGAACAGCACCGTTCTTTTTCCTGATAGGAAAGGGAAGGCTTTTTCTAACCAAAAGTTTGAGTGCTATTTGTCTGTGTGAATGAGTCACTTTCAAACGTGCGCTATTATCTGGCAGTTAAAAAAATATCATTAAACTCGGCGTCTTCAGACGTCTCCTATTAGTCACGACGTCTGTTAACGGTGTGTTGTTTTGGGAGCTGGGTAAACCCGTATGAGCGTGGCACAGCTGGAAACGTCGTCAGCCCGTAATGACCCTTTGAGCGATTGTTATTTAGAGGATCCCCGTTCGTCTTTCATTTTCGTAATTCTCTCCGGAAGTCTCTCGGCACGACCGAATGGACCAAGCTCGCCCTGCCCCAGAACCTCGAATCCGTCGACCAAGCCAAAGGTTGTCAGATGATCGAGCGGCTTGAGAAGCAAAGCAAACGGATGCGGGACTGACTTGGCCGGCTACTCCACTATACTGCACTTTACTCCCACCAATGTCTTTCTCTTGATTCGCAGACAGCTGTGAATGTGTGTGTTAAGACTGAAGCGTAGAGAAAACTCGCCCATCCCATTTGGGTGTTCGCCGACCCGGACGGTCAACATCGCTGGAACGAAGCGCCACATATCAAGAACAGACATCAGCAGTAATAGTAGCAGCGAGCAGTATCGAGGCCTGACATAGTCATCGTGATGGTAGGGACAACAGCAGCAGCGATGGACGAAAAATCACTGTATCAGCCGCACATCGTGCTAGCTTAGACCTAGCACGACTCTGCCGAGGGAACGCTGCCACATCGCCTTGACTGGGGATCGTCATCAGGGATAGGTTGAATGAGAAACTGAAAGAAAGAGAACGAGTAGCTAACAAACAACGTAGAAAATGGCGTTGGTCGTAAGAAGGCGAGACACACACAGTATGCCGCTGGCTGGTAGCGTCGGGTCTACCGGCTGTCCGTCACGATCGGGCCGGGGCACGGTACAGGGTTCAAATAAAAGAGAACACGCCGACTATGACTATGACTATAACGACGACGCGTCGTGATTACGAACTACGAAAAAAAAAAAAAAAAAAAAACAGCACCAAAGAATGAGTGAGCGAGCGAACAAGCGAATGAACAAATGGGACTCTAACAACGGCCGAATCAGAAGGGCGCTAAAACGACAGCCGCCAAAGGGTCGCCAACTGCTAGAGCCGCCGGCGGGCAACCTCCAGGCAAAGTCCACTGTTGGCTCCACGATCAGATTACAGGGCCATTTTCGCAGCTGCTGCTGTTCGTACCGAGACGGCCGCAAAGAGAGGGACGAGAACTACGCCGATGGGTTGTACTATACCTACGAAGGTATAGAGGGAGACGACACGGTCGCTGCACAACGACGAAGAGAAAAATGAAGGAAAGCTGGAGAAAGTCGATTCATTGGAGAAAGCGGCCTCCGGTTAGTGTATAAGCAAAGTCTCGACAACAATTAACCATAGCCACGGTCCATATGACGTCACTAATGACGATAATGATATTCTATGCGATGAACAGCATAGAAATGGTTGTCACAATGGCGGCGTTTGACTGCAGAGTGGCTCACCTGTAGAAAGAGAGCGCAACTCTCGGACCTGAGCCGATCCAGTGAAGACGCTAAACGGTGCATCTCCTAATCCAGGACAAAAACTTTCGGTTACTCGTATTTCATATGATACTAGTCTTTACCTAATTCAGACGGTAATAAAAGTGACAGCACAAGGCGATGTCGATGCTGAAACAACCTTGTGCCGATATATTATTGTAATCACTACTTACCTTCAAGCTTGATACTTCGTAACGTAGTTGGGAGCTCGTCGATGCTCAATTTCTCGAAACGATTACCGGCTAGGTCGAGTTTGCCCAACGGAAGTGTCCTAATCGTGCCCTGCAGATCTTCAAGGAGGTTGCCAGAAAGATCAAGTGACCACAGCTCAGGAAGATCCGGCGAGCCCTCGATCATAATCAACTCGTTATGGCCCATCTCCAGAGTATAAAGCTTGCGAAGGCCATTTAGGGCAGACCAATTTAGCTTTCCAATATGGTTGCCGGACAACAGGAGCGATGTCAGCTCCTTGAGATGCCGGAGCGCCTGTGGCACCTCAGTAAATCCGTTGTTGCTTAAATTGAGTGACCGTAGACGGCGTGCTCCAATCTTGTCGAACAAAACATCATCCAAAGCGGTCAGGTTGTTGTCATCAATACTAAGATTTGACACATTTGTTCTAAGCATGAATCCAAACTGGCGAAGTGAGTTCCGGCCAAGAAAGAGCGACTCAAGTTTCGGGAGCGTTGTAAAGACATCATCATTAAGTTGTTTGATATTACAGTTGACGAGATAGAGTGTAGTGAGGCCCTTAAGACCTGTACGAAAACGTGAGCGGAAAAAATTTGGTTAAAATTTATTCGTACGCATACAAGTTTATTTATGCAGCACGCAGCTCTTTTTTGACTAATGTTACGTTGGCGGCGTGTTTCTAATAGGCCGTCGCCTAGCCCATAGCAATACGCATATCAGGCACGAGTAACGTAAAATGCGATTATCCTTAACCTTTGAAAACGTCCTTGGTCGGGTTGTTCAGGCCGGTGTTTTTCAGATACAACGTACGAAGTCGTGACATATCCCGGAAGGCGTTCAAGAGGTTCGGCGCTGTCAGATCCGGATTTCCGTTCAGGTTGAGTGCCACCAGGCTTCGGGGAAAAGCGTCCTGTTCCACTCGACGTACGGCGCATGATGACAACCCCAGAGTCATCAGGCTTTCCGGAAACAAGCCCTTGGAAACGACTGCAATCAAATCACAATGCACAGCCACAACATACAATCGCTCGTAAGAGAGCTCCGCTCGCGGCCCTCTCGTCACACACTCAAAACCACGTGGGCTTTCTACCTCCATCGATAGAAGTAGTAGTAGTAGTAGTAGTAGTAGTAGTAGTAGTAGTAGTAGTAGTAGTAGTAGTAGTAGTAGTTCCTGTCTAGCTGGTTCGGACATTGGCCAAGCCCGATTGAAGAGGCAACCTACCTTCAAGATGGAAGCCATGCAGCATAAGTGTGCCCAGTTTCGGGATTCGGCTGATGGCTTCCAAGGGAGGTGGCACACCTGCAAGGCTCTTCAAGTCCAAAACTCGGGTCTCAAGCCCCTCGAAGGCGGCCAAGTCGAACGTCTGCACGAAGCTTGTATTCAGGTGAACGATGAGAGCTTTGACGCCAGCCAGGAATCGGGCGGGCACCTCCTGCATGGTCAACTCGTGCACCGAAATCACGAACTGAGCCTCTGGTGATTCAATCCGTAAAGACCGGTACAGCTGCTGCAGAGGCTCACCTGAGCTCAATTTCCGGCACACAATCTGTCGAAACAAACAGTGGACAGAAAAATGCAGAGATATACATACACAAAGAACCAACATAATGCGGCCGCTCGCAAATAACAACGAAAATAATTCGAACATTTACATTTGATGTATGGTCTTTGACGGGCAGGTACACAAATGTCCATTTTGCCATTGTATTTTAGAGCAGCTGGCTCACTGGCTTACTCACTGCATGCGTTCTACTATCCGGAAAGTAAGCGACAAGCGGACCGCGCCACGCTAAACTAATTATCTAATAAATGAATGCCGTTGCAGTGCTAGTATAGTCTACAACGTTCATGGCTTTTTTTCTCTGGCCTTGCTTACCTCGAATCGGAAATATCTGGCATCGTCCGTTTCGCTCTGAAGGGCGTCACCACACTCCATATTTTTGTATCGATCAAGACACACACAGGGCGATTGTGTTTGGTCGGGTGTAAGAACTCTATTGGCCGAAATAGGGTTCTTGCTGTTATTGCCTGTCGTGGAGGCCGTCGTGGTTGTGGACACGACGGTGACATTACCGATGGACGCCCCATGGCTGCCCGCTAGCACCGCTCCGATAAACAAGCACTGCACAAACGTCTTCCCGGAGAAAGGCATATTGTTCTCGGATGCCTCTGCAGGTCTGTCAAGACACTGCACGGGAGACCTTGACCAGAACCTCGCGAGGTTCGAGGAAGAGCCACAAAAGAGCTGAGAAATCTGGGGCTGGAGGCGTCATTTAATGGACCCGGCACGCGCGCTCATCGCTTTTTACTATCGACCCCTCGGCTCCGGGAGAGGGCAGGCGCACCCGTCAGCCGCACAGCCGCGGAGAGAGGGCGCTTCGCCTTGCCAGCAGTCAGCATATCGACGACTACAAAGAGGCAGCAGCCGCTTATGGTGTTGTTCAACGTCGCTGCTGCCAAAACAAGCCACGAACCAGCCATCACTGCCATCAGTCTGGCTATAGCACCAAAACTGGTTGTCACTGTCGTTCTGTGAAGATGCCCCTGGAACCGCTATTGGACATCATTACGTCAGACTATGCTTCTGTAGTACGGCTACTCCTAAATGTTGCTAACATCGAAATCTATCATAGGCGCCGCGAGTATGTTACGCCGCTCTAACGACTGTTTGCATGCTTTTGTTAGTGTTTTCGCGCCAATATCCGCGCCGCTGCGAACTGGCATATGCTGAGGGTGTCGTCTGTCGATGGGACTGGTCGACGAAGGCGGGCGCCGCCAAATCCTAACCAACAGGACGAATCGATGCCCATCAATAACAATAATAACAGCAGCGACAACAATAACAAAGGGAGTTACAACAACAACAACCGGGAAAAGAAAGGAGAGTGTGGCGGCAAATATTGAAAATTGTCAGGACTGACGGAGGCGAGGTCTCAATACTTAGCTGCTATATGAGGTTATAGTTTGTGCTGGTCTATTCGTTTATTTAATCCACAAAATACAAGGCATACATTATCAAAATATTATGGCACAAACAATGTCAGCCCGATTTTTGACACGGTTATGCATACCACTTCATGTCGTGAATTGGTAACAAAGGATATTGGTTACATGTCCTTAGACGGATAGCGTAGGTTATAGTAAGCAAAATGTTCCCTGGCTTAATCCGTTTGAATTAGTCATACATTTAATTATCTAATTGGTAATGCACAGGTTGTTATTTAACTTATGTTTTTTCCGCTTCGTGCATATTAATTGAATAAAAAGTGTTGAATTTCAAAGCCACGAAATAAAATTCGATTTCGTAATTTAAAAACGTATCTTTGAGAGTTCGGTATAACTAGAAACAAGGAAGAAATAACAGGTCAATCAGTCGCATAGGATTGAATTTTTGTTTTCTTTTACCCTAGAAAAGCCTACTGTCGACCATCTTGAGCAACCTATCGTTTCGAATGATCACAGTCAACACGGGGGGGGGGGGGTCACTCTACACGCAGTCAACTACAGCGATACCAGTGGGGGTAATTTCCTCAGCCCTAGTAATGTCTTCCACTGCATCTACTACGATTTTCCCCACATCTTAAAGCAGGTCAATATTACTCTGTTAATTTGAGAGCTTCGAGAGCTGGTCAAGCCCTTGGGGCCCAATGGCGCCTGTTTTTATTAATCCGTCACATCCGCACTGATCTGCGCATTTGACCCTGTGCGTCATCCAAGCGCCCCGAAGCTCATCTCGGCCTGTCGGCCCTTTAATTGGGATTCGTGTTTGCGTCTTACACGCACGACGATGATACCCATATGCGCCTCCTACAAGCCCAATGCTGGCGACCTTGAGAGCTGTGTGAGATGTTGCTATTGCTGTTGATACAAATAAATTCCAAGCTGAGCTATATACAACCTATGTAAAAATTATGGAATGCTGATCCGTGTACCCGAATACGCAACAGGTACTTATGCAGTTACAAAGACCATAAATGATTTTTATTGCGGTTAACACATTTTCTGGCATGCTTCTTCCAGTGAATCGAAATATAGACTTTATTATGGACCCATCTAATTTGGCTCAATCGGCGAGCACCGGTTGCAATACAATATGTCGCTGTTTTATAATTAAGCAACCGGGTTTTTTAAATTAAATTGTGTATGAATTTCGTTAATACCACATCCGTGTATCGTAGCCCCTTGAAGTCGTCGTGTTTACCTAAGGACGTGTCCAAAACAGTTTTCGAACAATGACCGCAAGGCCTGTTTTAAGAAATTACGGTACACCCCGCAAAACCGTGACCACACCAAACCTCATTGATTCTTATCGTACTGTTGACGTTGAAGCAAGTACGGGGTTTTGTGATCTCGCTAACGGACTTGCTGGTCTTCCTAGTCATGCACCCGGACGGCTGGGACGACAACTTAATTTACCTGTTCGGTCGCCGTACTTGAAAGCAGTCGCAGAGGTCCTTCTAATACAGCGAACAGAATTTAAATAAAAAAAAAGGAAGAAACAGCATTTGAAATAGCAGTTTGTGCAAAAAGAAACGTTCGTCAAACATACAAACTATATCTACTTTCTCGGCTTTTACTTTCAACAGTTTCTAGAAAAATCCGTTATTTGCCTACAAACTTTGCTCTGATTTATAACTTCCTAATTCATTTTCAGATCAGATAATCTGAGCGATAGTCCGACGCAGTGCGCCTAGAATTACTAGAATCGCTAGAAAAACCAGAATGTGCCCAGAAGAGTCATAGCCATTCAAGAAAAACGCTCGATTTTTAGACAACAATTAGCCGACTTTTTGTAGGTATTATTCCTTAGTTTATAAAATTATCACATCCTGCCCCTTACGCAGCGGCTGCAGCGGTAGTTTGTTCCGGACATCGCACGTAATAACGCTCTCAACGAGATGATCCCATTGTACTTCGTATTTTCAATATTCAACAATCACTTTAGCCTGAATCAAACTGCAGCAGTCGAAGGTGCCTGACGCTAATTACCGACCCTGTTATCGCGTATAGAGTACTTGCACACTATAACAGCGTAATTATCTGCGTGCAATCGATGACAAAGCCTTTACTTTGCTGGGACCTTTCATCTGCCACCAGCGCCAGCCTTCACTCTTTAAAACTAGGGAAACGTCATTGTCACGTCTTCATTATCGACACGCGGCACGGTTTCGTCATTTAAAACGTTGTCCGCTAACGCTGGTTCTTCTCCTACACCCCCCCGTCCGTCATCGTTGACGTCATTTGCTCGGGTGAGTTGCGACGTCAGCGCTATTTAGACTGCCAGATCGTCCTTTGATTGATGCCGATTTGTGTTCGTTCGAATGGATTCCACAGCAGGGGACCGACTGCTGGGGAGGGGGGTCACCCCTTCCCATCTTGCCTCCTTTTTTTGCCCTTTTCCTGACATCGACGGCTTTCTACCTAAGTAGTAAACAAAGACGATGCTGTGCGGCATTTTCTCGCTGCTGTTGTGGCACGTGCCCATTTTCTCTCCATAGTAGTAGTGCTGCTGATAATGAGGGGAATCGCACAGCACGCGGGGTTCAACGAGTTAGTCGCCTTGTCCACATACAGCACGGTAGCGGCAGCGACAAAGACAACAAATTGATATAGAGTGAATCGTTTTAACGAGATATAAAAAAATTACATGGAGCAGATAATACTTAGCAAAGACGAAATGTAGTATAACCAGTCATTCGGTATCTGCAATAACAAACAGCCACAGTTGATAAGATACCATAATACCGTGCTGCAGCCGATGAAGTTGCTGTAAGATTGGCTGGAGGATGTCCTGCTTAGAGCGGCGCAGCGCCACCGTGGCTGCCGATTTTCATATCGTGCTGGAATAGCACTCCAATATCGTTGAAAGATTTGCTAGTCACTTTTCGGCTATCTGATTATTATCTCTCCGGATGAATTAGATCGAGGCAAATACTATTATTACCATGCCCCTACGTCACCACACAACTGACGCTCAAGGGGGATTTTCAGATGTCTGTTATTAATAGTGAAATCTCGGCCACGCCATACTTTGCGGTTTCTCGATTAAGCTGTACGGCGGTATCTAGTTAAGCGCCGTAACTTGAAAAGTTTTATGACTCTCCTGGGGTAGGGAATGTAACGTGTGCCATTATATATACCAGATGACCGATAGAGCGGTTCGCGTTCATCCGTTGTAGACGTGAGACCAGCTCAAAGCCTAGGTCTTTCTCAGCTACGTAGCTGGCTCTTTCTTATTTGATATATCTGATCGACGTAGAGCGTCTTTGAAATGCTACCTAGACACAACTTATTCCCCATATATACCCCCCATATCGTATAAGCAGCTGAACTGAGTTTCCGGAAAATAATACAGAAAGAACCAATTTTTAGTCAGATACAGACCTACATACATGATCCGACATAACAAATGGTAGTCAAATTCCGTAGCAGTAAGCGGACGCATTAATATTCGCATGGTTATTATCTGTTTATAATGGTTTAGAAAACATCCATCCATTCAGAACTTGAAAGATGGTCACCTCATTTGAGACACTGTTGATTGTTTCGAATATATTAGGCTAATTATTATAATTATTATTAGCTTGACTCGCCTGATCATCCTGATAGATGCAAATTTTCGACTGATTAACGTGACTACAAAACAAGCAGACGCCACCACTCGACACTTTGCATCAACTGATAGACGATATAGGGCTTTTAATCAGCATCATGATAAATGGATTTTTCTTTCGTCATTTCTTAAATGAAATAGTGTATTACACTGTCGAGTTCGTGATCGTATTTAGAAATGACTGCCATTTAGAAAATTCTAATTTTACGGTTTGAAATGGGTACTGAGTCACACACACACAGAGGGTTCTCGCACTGAGGGAAACGACACCGCAGCCGCACCAGCAAAAACCAAAATGTGCAGTATATTATGATTTAGTCCTGTGTGATTTCAGCTGCTGGATATTTCCGCATCGGGAAAACAACTTTGGAAATAGGAACAGTATAGATCCGAGAGATGATGACAAAATAGGCTACATTATGCTGGGCACACAGTCGTTTGTCATCGCACTACCGGAGAACAGAACTCAGTTCATAAATAGTCATTCGAGAGAACCGTGACTCTAAGGGGCCTAAATATTATCTGTGATACAGTTGAAGCTTTTGTCGCCCAATGCGTTTATCTAAGTCGACTTGTGGTCTAAGTCGACTCGAATGGAAAACAGATGAAGACCGAGGTTTACCCAAGCGATGGCCATGTCCAATTGATCTTCGGTATACGTCTACCTGCAAAACTTCCTATATGAATTGCTTCTCCTCAAAGAGACGGAAGAACTATTTCGTTATTAATTGGTGATCGACCAGATACAGTGACCGTATAATGACGCTTCCCTATTCAGCACAACTGCAAATAAGAAATAAAATTCTACGAATCACCAATTCTTTGTTTTTTTTTTTCGACTATAAAGCAATCAGTATTTGCTATACACGCATGCTCCATCAATCAGCAAAGTAAGTGCTAAAGAGATACGATCGAGATCGATGGTTCCTTGTGGCGCGTAAGAGGAGAGGCCGTCCTGTCGATTTCTTCATGACAAAAACGCATCGTATCAGATCAAATGAAGCGGCGTCTCGATCAAGGTTGATGATCACGTGGCGTGAAAGGTATATTGTACCTTCATCAACTGTAGTCCACTGCAAACTACATAGGCCTTTAAGCATGTTATAATAGCTACGAGAGAACGTTGTAACTTGAGTGCGATGGAAGTTCGCGAGCGACCTCATATGAAGTCTAATGTCCATCTCATACCAATTCAAAATTAGTTAATCTGACTAACGCTTTTTTCCAATTCTTGTTTATTGCATAACCTATCAATGCTAGAGGACCTAACTGCATATATATGTATATAAAGGTTCTCTAGCTACTTAGGCAAACTTAGAAGGGACGAGGTGGGATTCTTCCGCATTTAGAACTGAATTACCGCATAAAAGACGGTCCTTATTCATCATCCTTAAGCTGATCTGAAGTACGAGACGATTTGAGACTACTGCCATCCTTTTTTGGATCCCTAAACCTCTTGCAGTGTGAGCTATCGAAGACCTCTACGACGTCAACGAACAACCACTTTATAGAGCCATACAAGTATCTTGTGGCGGTCGTTGTTTTCGTTTCGCTCAACTGTTAACGGCGTACGTCACAATGGCCGGTTAAAGAACTCAGC